ATATTATATATAGTATATTAAACTTTTATACTATAATATATTATATATAGTATATTGTATTTATACTTATATATATATTACTATATACTATATACAGTATATTGTACTTATACTATAGTATATTACATATAGTATATTGAACTTATACTATACTATATTATATATAGTATATTGAACTTATACTATACTATATAATATATAGTATATTGTATTTATACTTATTATATATTACTATATACTATATATAGTATATTGTACACTTATACTATAGTATATTACATATAGTATATTGAACTTATACTATACTATATTATATATAGTATATTGAACTTTTATACTATAATATATTATATATAGTATATTGTACTTATACTATACTATATAATATATAGTATATTGTATTTATACTTATTATATATTACTATATACTATATATAGTATATTATACTTAGACTATATATATATTTATTCGGTAAAATATAATAAGTACCAATCAATGATCTTTATTAGAGTTCAACATTTATATAAGAGATCTTTTTTTTATTACTTTTTTTAAAATAATTTTTGTGAACGAACGTATATATTATACATATATACATATGTATATATACTCGTTGAAATGTATTTACATACTATGTTAGGTTTTTAATAGTAAAACTTACTATCATTCGTGACTTTGATATCTGAAATTACTTTATTCGTTAATCGAATTGTTCTTTGATTTATTTCGTTCTATATATGTATATATGTATGTATGTATGTATGTATGTATGTATTAATCAAAGTTAGAGATTATACATATAGAAGTATAAAAGTGAAATCAGACATTGATTGACAGATTTATTGCCCTGTGCAAAAGAAGTTCCTGTAACTTGATAGGATGAATCAATCTAACGTCAACATATCGGATATTGCAGTAGTCCTAGTCAAATTTACTATATTCTATATATACATACATATATGTATATATACATACAAGTATGTGTTATAGATTTAATATTTTTTAAACGAGTGTTTAGTGTATTAATTAAAATATGTAAGTGGATATTTACTTCATAAATTAGTTCAAAATAAAATCTATAAAGTATATACTATACAAGTGTCTATATATGAAGTATGTTTAATAAATGTATTTTATTATTTTTTTTTACAACAACATATTTAGAACACTCTAATCACAATAAATAAAAGACAATTTATTTAATTAAATAATACGTGGTATAAAGTAAATATATATTAAATTAAAAGTAATTTTTTTAATTAAAATATATAATTAAAATTAAATAATTAATATATTAAATTAATAATTAAAATAATTAAATACTCTATATATATA